CCTCTACCAACAGCCTCTGCTACTGATACTGGAGAGCTAACTATCAAAGACAAGATTTCTTAGCATATGGGAGGCAAGGGTAGGGCAGAGTTTGCCCACAGCATGCAGACAGGCTCTCTTATTTCCACTACTATGGAAAGACCAACAAAGAGAGGCCATTTGATATAAATAAAAAGCAGAAATATTTTCTTTCCGTCCTGTTTTGATTTTGTTAGCTGGATGGTAGTATTCTTACCAACTCATCTAGCAGTAGACATTGCCAGTCCAGTAAGAGAATACAACTTTTATTGTAGATCACCAAAAGATGTTTTGCACACAGATATGCCTGAGGCACCTTCATAACAAATGGCCATACCTCTCCAAGCAAAAGTAATTTTCTAGAGTTTCTCATGACAAGAAATAAACACTCCAACTTAATATGGAAAAAAACTAAGGACTTTTAAAAAATTATCAATAAGGGAAACTCAATTTTATTTGATTTCTTAATTGAGGTAATGGATACATTCAACTTTCTCCAATCTAATTAATATGTTCTGTAACATCCAGTTCTATAGTTGAAAAAATTTTTTTAGAAAAACCTTTCAAAAAGGTACATAAAATCAATGCATGTGTGGAAGATATATGTATATATGTCTATGTATGCATACATAAACATCTGTACACACATCTGTACTTACAGAGTAGGCAGAAACAGATATGGCTCCTTCTATTGGAGGAAAGAGCTCACTTACTAAGTCCTAGCACTGACAATATTTGTGTTTATATTTTTATTTATCGTTCAAGCTTGACCCAGCAGTGATGAACTCTTACTGAAATGTCCTATCAACAACCAAAAGAAATATAAGAAAATGTACTGAGATCGTATCCAAAATTCTCCAAGGAGTCTTAACAATGAAGGGAATAAATGTCTAGGATGCAGAAATAAAATGGGAACTTTATCAAAAAGAGAGACAGAAGATCAGGAGTGCATCTAAATAACCTCCAAGTTGACAGTAGGTCACTGTGGAAAAGAAATACAGACCCCACTTCAACTGTGGTTTCCGATGGTGTAAAAGCTGTCCTGTCCCACTGAGTCAGTTTTCCTCCATTCCTTTAAGACACCATCAAAGAAAGTTCAGAAGTGCAAATACCTGGAGTGGGGGTGAGGAGGGTTCATGCAATCCTTGACTCACCCCTTCAATAAAATACACGCTTTACTTCCATCCATACTAATTTCTTGAGACATAGAGGGTGGTTGGAAAGAGGCCACACCTTCCAAAAGCCACTCACTTGGAGAGACACCAGAAAACTTTTTGTTGGGGTAGGTTTCCAAACTGGGTGCCACCGAAGGTGAGCTGAAGCCCCAGGAACACAATCCACACGGTGAAGCACACACCAGCCAGTAAGGTAGCAAGAACTGGAGGAGAAGGTGGTTTCAGGCATCTCCAAACAGATTGAGCAAGAAGCATCCCCATCCTTCCTAATACCCTTAGGCCACTTTTTCGAAACAAGCCAGCAAACGGTGGAAGAATCAATCATGTTACCTCAGATTCACATTTCCCAATGGGCTTCCTGGTCCCCACTAACATAATCATCTGTTCACTCAGCTTCACTTTCATAACTGGGGAGGGATGGGGAGGAGGTGGGGAAGCTATGCCCAGAGAGTCTGGAGACTTCGGATCAGGATTCAAGGCAACGTCCCCCAACTCCCTTGTTTATAGAAATGAACGTCTTACTTAAGCTCAGAAAAGGGGTCAGCCTATATCAGTAAGGTTCACACAGATTGTGGATTTTTCCCCTTCCCTTATCTTAAATTGACCTGCTTTTAAGATAAAGACATAATAGAGAGAGCATTGACCTTACCTGGTCCCTAATGAGTTGGAAGTCAGAAAACCTCTTTCTCATTTCCTCTTATCTGGGATCGCCTGAGAAGAGACCCACGCCTTGAGACAGCGCCGCAGCGCTCGCCGCCGCCCAGACTCCCGAAGTCTGCGAATCTTCCTGGGCTTTCAAAATCAAAGACTACGAAACCACATCCAAGCATCGTCACTGGAGCTCCTAGGTCCAGACTCAGAAGCATTTAAAATCTCTTGGAAGATTCCCAAACAAGCCTTTCCCTTAAAAAGGCCAAGTTCTGAGCAGTGGCACGAAGCGCTGTCTCCTCGAGGCCCCGATCGCCCGAAGACGTGGATGCCATCTCGATGCTCGCTAAATGAACTGGGACCCAGCTTACCTTTCTCTCGCCCGGACCCAAGCTATTTCCACCCGGCTGCCCTCTTGCCCCTAGTGTACGCCCACAAGCTGGGACATTTCTTTCCTCCTGGCCTTGAGGACCCCAGCTGTGTTCTTAAGGGTGGCCACAGCACCCCGGGATCCCTTCCTTCCCTGCTCAGGGCATCTCTGTCCTGTTGTTTCCGCCCCTTCTCTGAGCCCAGCCCTGTCCACCGCTCGCCAGCTGAGAGAACTGCTTTCCCTTCTCCTCGGCCCCACAGCTCGGGGTTCCCAGGCTGGGGCGGGGGTGGGGAGCCGCTTTGGGATGCTAAACATCAAACAAGCCAAGCCTGGGGTTTCAGGCCCCGACGCCACTAGAGCAGCTCTCCAGGGCTCTCGAGAAAGTCCTCGTGTTTACATGGCGGGGTTGGGGTGGGGTGGGGGAGAGGAGCAAAGCTGAGGATGCTGTCTGCAAAATACCCCCACTGCCTGAACCGTCGAGGTCTGGGGTTGGGTGAGGTACTTGTCAGGGGACAGTTTCTAAGGCATTTGTTCTATAGGCTCACTGGGGAAGTTTTTCCTTGTTCTAACATCTCCAATGCCAGGGGCATCTCCGGAATACTTATTTCTTCTCCTGGGAGGCCAGAACCAACTTGAGCCTGAGCTATTGAAAGCCTAAAATAAGCGAGCGCCCCTTCCAGATGCTGACCGGGTAGCAGGTTGTGTGGGAGGAGGGTGTCCGCAAGCTGTGGGAAGCTCTCACCTTGAATCTGGCACCTAGTTTACTAAAGAGTCTGCGTCCCAAGATTGCTTCAGTAGCTGCCACAAGTCCCCTAGGCAGGAGCTGGAGGAATCAGAGTGATTGAAGATAAGGCCAAAGCCCTGTTTGTTGGGTCTCATCCCCAGACCCCTCCGAATTCACCTATTTCAGGAACAAGTAAACAGACTTCTAACTAAGCCGGCTGGAGAAGAAATGTATTTGTTAAAAACTCCAACTAGCATAAGGAAAATAAGACAGACAGTGCTACAGTACACTCATGTTGTTACTCCGCTAGAATGAAGGGAGGCAGGGCAGGGTGGTATCTACCGCCGACTAAGCTCTGCCTGCGCCTGGACCGGCTAGTGGGACTGGTTGAGTTAAACTCACCCCCCCACACACACACACACACTTAGGAGTTGAGCAGCAGCTGCCAACACCTGTCTCCCTAGACATCCACAGCCTGCAGTCCTTGTCCCAGAATCACAGATGCCTATTCCAACAGAAATGATTCAACTTTCCTGGTTTTGTGTTTCCAAAATATGAGGTCTGCCGAGAGTACCACTCCCCAATGTGGACTCTCAGCAGACTCAACCAACCATCCTTTCAGAATATCAGAGTACCTTCAAAATACCAGAAGCCACATCCCAATAGCCAGGATTAGTTTTCTGAGAAAGAAAGCTACCCCTGGCCCCCATTCCTAAGGCACAGTAGAGTAGAAATCCCCTGGATATCAGTGAAAATGACTGCTGGATTCAAGTTCATATTTTAAAAACAAAACAAAGCAAAAGAAAAAAAACAAGATCCTGGGGGGAGGGATGGAGTGGAAAACTGGGAAAAATTGTTAGAGGAGAGGACAGAGAGGAGAGGAAGGAAGGAGGGAAGATGGGAGTCGAGAAAGAAAAAAAATAGTTGAACATTTGAGTGAAAAATGAACACAAAATGTGCCAAAAGTCAATCAGTCACCACAACAAACCCTTGCCCGCCCCGGATGCACCAGGGCCGGTAGGGCTGTCTATCTGCAGCTCACGGACTGCCTTGTCTGCACAGGTTTGCTAGAGGTAACTCCTGAGAAGCAACAGTTCATCCAAGGAGCTGTAGTTTTTGTCTCTGTCCATAACCATTCTTTTACCAGGACCACCCACCCCCATCACAACCTTAATGGTTTCCCCGGCACACGTATCTGCTAGTGGAGATGAAAAAATAATCAGAGATGGGGGGCAGTTTAAGGTTATTTTGGTTTTGTGTGTATGGGGGGGGGATGATAGAAAGTTGGGGATAGGAGAAGGATTCATTGCTGCAAAGATTTAGGACCCGAGGTATTGAAAGTATTGGGATAAAGAGTGAAAGAACAGCTCCCAATGTCCTGCTAGAGGCATCCCTAAGCTGGCCACCAAGTCCACACTGAGATAAGACAGAGTAGCCACTAGAAGCCAGGATGGGGAGTCCTAGGATGGGGGTGGGGGTGGGGGCTGATGATCCCCGAGCGCAGGGAGGGATCTTGTTTTAGAGTGTTGAAATAAAACTCAGAACCAACCACACTGATTCTAAGTGCGAGGAGGCTAGGTGGGAAGTAGGAATATAGGTTTGAAATTCAAATGTACAGAAGCAATTCATTTACTAAAAATGATAGCACCTTCAGAGTTATTTCAAATGGCTGACTTGGTCCACCGTTTTAAACATTGGGTCAGTTCTGTAAGGAGCTGTTGAGACTCCTAAAAACAGAAGGTTGGCTCTTAAAAAAAAAAGAAAGAAAGAAATACATTGTTTTTTGTCCCCCCTTCCTCTACCTCCCCTTCTAGAGAAGTAATTTACTTTTCCTCCTATCAAAAGGTCCCAAGACTGCTCAAGATTTTTATTCCACTAGAGTTCAAAGTTGAACAAAATCCCCTCTTTTTGTGGGATGGAAACTCTGGAACTGGCTTCCTTACCTGGTCAGAATCAGAATCCCCGAGCTCAACCCCAGTAATTTGGGTCCCATCAAGTTTAATGATGAGCCTCTATCCCCCCTCCCCAATCCGTTAAAAGCCAAATCAAAAACCAAACAAAAAGAAAGGGTTTTAATCAGAAAAGGCATCTTTTTAATTCGTATAATTTATTAGAAGCTTCTTAGGAACTATATTTAAGCCAAATATCTACATAAGTTACAACAGAAAAAGAGACTGAGGCTGCGAGTACCAAACTGTCAGATAATATGCACAGGTTTGTCAATGCCCTTTAAAAAAAGTCAGGGGCCGGGGACCGGGACTGGGTTTCTTTTTACAATATAATGTACAGATTACTAAAAACTAGGCATTTAGTCCAACTTTTGACAGCATTTTACAGCTACATGTTCACATCAAACCTAAAACAATTTCTGAAGGGCCAGCCTGGACTGAACCTATAGGGCCAGAAGGCGCCGGGGAGGGGGCACTTCCTTTGTGACGGGTACAAGTGGGTTATGCAGAAGGATCTTTCCCCTCTCCAGCTCCTGTCCTCCCTTCTGGGGGGAAAAAATATCCTGGTATTTACAAGCAAGTCCGCTTCGCTGGCAGAGTGCATCCAGAGGGAAGTTTTCCGTCTTTAGAGTTCAGGGCCATGGTAGTTCAGAGCAGGCTCCGAAACAGTGTCCGGACCAAGCTTGGGAACCCATTTGAACCACCAGAAAGACACCCCGTGTTTGTTCTATGTCCTTCTCTGTTTAAAGAATCCATAAGGGGTTGTATTTGCTTGGTTGTTTCTATTTTTTTAATGTTAAAAATAATCCACAAGTTTTAGGTAGAAAATAGAAAAGGAAGAAGAGAGGATGGAGGAAGAAAGAGTGGGAGAGGAGAAGGAGAAAGAGAAGAAGAAGAGAAGACGGAGGCGAAGATGATGAGGAAGAAAATTAAGGAGAAGGAGGAGAAGAAGAAGGAGGAGGAGAGAAGAAGAAGAAGAAGAAGAAGAAGAAGAAGAAGAAGAAGAAGAAGAAGAAGAAGAAGAAGAAGAAGAAGAAGAAGAAGAAGAAGAAGAGGGAGAGGAGGAGGGAGAGGAGGAGGGAGAAGAAGGCGTCCAGCAGTTTGGTCTTTGTGTACTTTTTCCTTGGTCTAAACACAAACAGGTTCTTAAGAAAAGTCGAAGCGCGTGGAGCAGCGGGCGAATGGTGGTCTTTGCGGGCGGGCAGAGGCGAAAGCGGTGAGGCCGCGCGGGGCTCTGGCGGGTCCCGCGTCTCACCAGGTCCGACCGTAAAGCAAGGTAGAGCAGGACATGGCGCCATAGTCCGAGCCCGAGGAGTTCAGATGGGATAGGCTGGAGACCTGGCCCTGCAGCGCTGCGGGGCTTGCTGCGTGGTGCGCCAGGTCCGGGGACTGGCCCGCGCTGCCCGGCTGGTGGCCTGGGTGTGCGCCTAGCCCCGCGCCACCGCTGCCCACCGAGATGGCCGCGGCCGCCGCCTGCGCCGCCTGCGCCTGCTGCTGAGCTTGCTGCTGCGCGTGGCCTTGGAGGCTGGCGGCGCCCGGCGCCTGGGCGCCCGCCTGGCACGGTTTGCCGTCTTTCACCAGGACCGGCACGGCCACCCGGCGCGGCGACTGCTGCTGAGCTTGCTGCTGCTGTGGGCATCCGGCGCCCCCGCCGCCTCCGCCGCCGCCTCCGCCGCCGCCGCCGCCGCTGTCCTGCTGCAGCTGCTGCTGCGCCGCCTTGTCCTTGGCCTGGCGCTTCATCTTGTAGCGGTGGTTCTGGAACCAGATCTTGACCTGCGTGGGTGTCAGGTGGATCATGCTGGCCAGGTGCTCGCGCTCGGGCGCCGACAGGTACTTCTGTTGCTTGAAGCGTCGCTCCAGCTCGTACACCTGCGCCTGGGAGAAGAGCACCCGGCGCTTCCGGCGGGGCGCACTAGGCAGCGGGGCCATGTTCTTGCTCACGTCCCCCAGCGAGCCCAGGCCGCCCATGCCGCTCATATTCATGCCGCTCGCCGGGCCCATGAAGCGGGAGACTGTAAGCGACAAACGCACAGCGTCGGCTGGGGCCGGGGCCCGGCCAACCCTGCTTTCCTCGCCCTTGGCCCGTCGGCCCCAACCTTCGACGGCATCCTCCTCACCTAGGCCGCCCAGTGCTCCTTCCCGAGGGAGGCCCAGCTAGCTGGGGAGTGGCTAGTGCCTTCCCCAGGCCGTGCCGTCGAAGGGCTTAGGGGTTTCAAGCCTAGCTACCCTTCATCAGTGTCAGCGGCTCTTTAGAATCAGAATGTACAGTGTGTGTGTGTGTGTGGGGGGGGGGGGGGGACAGGGCGCTTCTGTTCGTTTCGTGCCCAAGCCGGGTGGGAAGCCCGGGATGGGGGTGGGGGGGGTGCAGAGAGCTAGGTCGGACGGTAGACCCCCAACTGCAGAGAGTTAGCAAAAGGGAGTTGTCACTTTCCAAAGCCCCAGCTTCCAGGCTCTCGGCCTCTTGCCTTCTCTTTCGCGAGTTCTAGGCGAGGACAGCTGCTCGGCCCATTTAGAGCCTCCTCCAGAGCTGTGCGCCCTTCCAACCCGCCCAGAGACTTCTAGAAAGCTAGGCAGCCCGGCTGGGCGCTGGGATGCGCCCCAGCAGGGCGGCCTCTCTCCTGGCCAGGCCTGGCTTCCTCCAACTCGGCTGGCCCGAGCCCTCAGCTCAGGGTGGGCCTCCCTAGGCACCCTGAAAGTCTTTCGCGCCAAGCCGACAGTTGGCGCCTGCGGTTGCTGGGTGCCAGCACCTGTCTGCAGGACCCCATCTCTACCAAGTGCCTCTTTTGAAACCCTAGCCCAGCGGTGGGGGAAGAAGGTCCAGCTCCCGCACCCCACACCTAGACGATGCTGCCCGGCTGCCCACCCCAACGCCTAGCATAACCGGCCAGCGCCGCGCCTCCGGGGCTCAGCCCGCGGCCCCGCGGCGGGGCGGCCTCACTTACTGGCGGGGAAGCGCGGGTCTGGGTTGGCGCCGTACCATCCGGGGCCCGAAGCGCTGTTCCGCATGGTGTCCTGGTAAGGCGGCAGCTCGCTCATGTTGCCCAGGTTGCCGTTGCAGTAGCCCCCCACGGCGGAGTGCGAGAGCTGGGGCACCCCCGCCGCCGTCATGTGGTAGGCGGCGGTGACGGCGCCGTGGTGCCCCACGGCGTGCTGCTGCATGGCCGCGGCCGGCGGGGCCGCCTGGCCCTGTCTGTACGCTGCTAGCGGAGCCCCGAGGCCGCCGCCCTCCATGCCCACTTTCTTGTAGCTTTCCTCCAGGGGACTCAAGATGTCAGACACTGAGAACGGAGTCGTGTGCTTTGGACTCATCGACATGATTCGGCGTCGGCTGGAGGAGGAAGGAAGAGGAGGAAAAAAAAAAAAGGGAGAGGGGGGAAGGCGAAGCCTCGCTACTTTTTTTTTTCTCCCTTTGCCAAATATTCTGGTGTTACCTTAACGCCGATCTTGTTGGATGTACACGTAACGGAGTGGACCGAGTCCGCCTTAATTGGCTTGAGTGGAGGCTCGGGGGCTGCCTCGCGTTTGTTTTAGCCCGGCGCCAGGTTTTAGGCAGCCACCAGAGGCGGGGCATAAGCGCTAAAGCAACAAGACAATAGAAGCCTACATCTTGCCCGAGATAATTAGCTTACATGCTGATGACAAGGTAAACACCTTTAAGCTTCACTTGTCAGGATTTTTACGTCTCAAAGAGAGAAAGGAGAGAGAGAGAGAGAGAGAGAGAGAGAGAGAGAGAGAGAGAGAGAGAGAGAGAGAGAGACCCAAAGCATTACTTCCCCCCTCCCTTGGACACCCCCCACCCCCATTTTTGTGGGGTGCCTGTGGCGCACGAGGAAAAGGCGGGGGAGGGAAAGGAGGAGGGAGCCGAGAGCGGGAGGGCCAGAGGTGGGGTAGAGAGTAACCTAAGGGGAGGGATGGAAGAGGAGGAAGGAAGGTGAATGCTGCTTTGCAACCAACTTGAGGAGTTACAAAGTGGAACCGCGGTCCGATTCGGTCGGGGTTCCGGGGTCGGGGGCTGGTCTTTGGGGGAGAGGGAGCTGAGGTGCAGGGAGCGGGGTTTCACCTGAGCCTGCCGGGGCTGCTCCTCCCTCCCGCTGCGGCCTCCCAGCCCCGCGCCTTCCCACCGGCTCCGGACCACATCGGGCTTCGCGGCGCCGAGCCCCAGTCACCACCAAAAGAGTGTGCGAGTCTGGGGGGGGATGAACCCTGGGGCTGCACTGTTGGTCTGTGTGTCTGTCAGTCTGTCTGCCTCTTCTGCCGCCGTCAGAGGGACACCTCTGCTCCCCGCCCCCTTTCCCCTTACCCGAGAGAATCCCAGCGGGCGGAGGGGGAGCTGAGTAAGGGAACGACTGCCTCCGGGAGGCTGTCACCGATCCCCGCGCCACCCCCCCCCCACCAAGCTCCTGGCTCCCTAGCGGACCAGCCCCCCAGCCCACCCCACCCCACCGTTCCCTTTCTCCACCCCCTCTGCCGGCCCAGGCCAGAACACTGCCGGCCTTCTGTGCTAGGAGGACGAGGGTGCGGGGATTAGCGTTGAGAGTCCACCACTGACGCTGTCCCATCTCCAACAAACCTGGTGCCCCTGACCCTTGCCCATGGCCTGGATGCTGCTCCGGCTTCTGAAGCTGGCGCTGACTTTCCGAGGACATCCCAGTCCCAGTACCCCCAGCCCAGATCCCCGCTGCTTTCCCTGCGGGTGCTTCAGGGAGAGCCGGGCCAGGGAGCCGCGTGAGCGCCCGCGGGTCCGTTGCAGAGTGGAACTGAGTCTGAACCCCGGTGGAACTCGCTGTCCCGGAGGAGGCGAATATCTCGACGGCCGCAACCCAGCGGGCGGGAGGCTGGGCTGAGGCTCGCCTCCTCCCGGAGCTCGGCCACGCAAAAGCGCACTCGCTTCCCCGGGAATAACCAAATATCTTTGTCTAAAGTGGCGGCGTAAATGGCCGGTCGCTTTGTGGCCACGCTGGATATTAGTAGATGAGGATCACTCTGCTTCAATTGGGCGCCTCTCATCCGGCTAGGAAGAAACTGCTTAGGAGGAAGTGGGTTTCCTGTCTGAGCGTTCCCAGGCTTCAAGTGTGAGCCCCGCGCCTTGAGGGTCCTTGGGCGCCTGGCAAGGGGGAGCTGTGGGCTGTGCTCCCTAGCGGAGCCGGGGGCGTCAGCCTCATGGCTGTTACCAGGCCGGGATCAGCAGCTGAGTGGGCTACCCAGCCAAGCCCTGCATGACACGGATTTGGAAACCACCTCCGATTTTTCTCCTTGGAAATTAAGCGTTTTCGTTGTTGTTTGTTTTTGTTTTTGCTTTGCTTGTCTGCTGTTTGAGATTCCTTGGCGCGCTAGAGGCTGGGAGGGCGGAGCGCTTCCTGGCCCGGCAGGTGCCTCCTAGACACTTCGGCGGCCAGTCAAGGAGGCTTCTTGATTTTGGTTTTTGTTTTCACGTTTTCTTTCCCCTCCTTGTAGTGAGGGAGCTCCCGATAATGAACAAGCAGTTTTGAACTACTTAATTCAGCGTAGGCTCCTTTCCATTAATAGCAATTATAGTATGGAAAGTTGTTTTATTTGCTTTTTAAGATCTCAACCCTCTCCTTGAAGAGTGCTCTCTACTCCCTCAACACAAAGCCAACGACTCTACTACCATTAGCTTTCCTCGCCACCTACCTCCGTCGTGAAGGCGCTGAGCACCCGCGGGCCTCCGATCTGGGCCTGCATTTTCCTGCGGGCCCCCACGGTGGCTTTGGAGCAGGCAACCCTGACTTTAAGCGGGCAGGTGCTCCGTGTCTTGTGTAGCTAAAGACAAGTGGAAAGCAGAGCGCTCTCCTTTCTCAGGGACTTCTCTGGGGGGCGCTCTCAAGATGAGCTCAGACCCCATCGACAGCTCTTTGGTCTAAGGTGTCTAGAGTGCAGTGAGGGGAAGCCCCGCCGGATCAAGTGAGCCCCGGGAAGAGCAGGCAGAGGCGAAGGCAGACCTTGTCTGAAGGAAGGCATGACCCCGATCTGCCAGTGTGAGGAAAGGGGTCTTAGTCGGAAGTAATGGGTCGTCCGTCTCCCTTTATCTCCGATATTTTATAATTGTTAGTAGTCATAAGAAACAGCAGGGGTAGTGTCGTCCGTCTCCCCTACGTTCCAATGCCACTCACAGAAGCTCATTCTCAGAAGGGGTTTTCTGAGAGTTAGGCAAAACCAAGCTCATGAAACACACGCCCAAAGCTTTGAGGGGAAAAAATTAAGCTCACCGCCAACGTCGCTATTTCAGTTTCTGTAGGTGTTATCAAATCTCTTGCTTCTTTTAGGGGCCTGACAGATTGGAGTGAAAGGTTTGTTCTGTTCTCCACGGTTTCTAATTCACACAGCCTGGGCCTTCAGTAACACCAGCAGGTGGCCAGTCTGGGAGAGTGTGAACAAGCATGATTTTTAGCTCTACTGTAACTGGGGACCCCATTCCCAATGCACAGCACTGGGTGAGGGTACTGGGCTCCAGTTGGGGCTGGAGGGGTGAAGATGTCTGGCAACCTCTCAGGCTTTACCCCTGGGGGAGGGCAACTGGATTGAACTCCAACCTTCTCACAGGCTTGCACCAGCATCACCAGCTCCTAGTTAGCCCGAGGGGGGGTGGTGGTGGTGGTGGTGGTGGTGTCTCTGCAGCATCCTGTGGTCCAAACTGCACGTTCCTGCCCCTTCACAAACACCCACCACTCTGCGTTATTTTATTTTCCGTAAGCTTATTTTCCATAAGCACTGACGGCCCGATAAGAGTAAAACTGAATACACAAGAGCCTCGTGAAAAAAAAAAAAAAGCCGTGTATTTATCTCTGAGCTCTTCCATACAAAGGCCTTGGGAGTCTCTCCCCAGGTCCCAACATTTCTTTCTGACTAAAAAGCATGCTGCCTCTCTGTTTCAACTTGAATAGGGTAGGGCCCACGCGGGTTATGTCAGAGATTATTTTTCTCTCCTGTAGCCGCGGATTAACAATCGCAAATGCAGTCCACTCTCAGGGCTGCGGGTCCTCCTTGGCGCTGCAACTGCCTTGCCGTCGGTGGACTGAGCCCAGTGACCCTGAGGACATAGCCCAGCCCTCACGAAGCTTTCCCTGGTTCAGCCCCAAAGCGCCACTTTAATCTCACTGGTTAGAAATCAAAGAGCAGCCGAGGCTGGAGCCCAGGCCCAGCCCTAGAGGAGCAGGAGAGCCACAGTCCATGCAGCACAGTGTGGCAGAGGGAAACTCCCATCCCTCCGTCCACTGTCTTTGAAAGACCGGGAGGGAGTGCTCACTGGGGAAAGCTATGTAAAATTCCCAATTCCTGGAGCTTGGCAAGGTAGGATATTAGCGAGAGGATTCCCAAACTAGAACCACTGACACCTACCCTTCAGTTTGCTTGTTTCTAACTCTCATGAAGCCCTTCACATTTCCCCAGGGCACTAAGTGTGTTCCTTTTAATGTTACACAGTTCCAAGTCTTATTGCAACTCATGATTCATTTAACAGCTACTCATTGAGCCCATGCTGTATCAGATACTGGGTGGGCTAGGTCCAAGTATTGATAGCCTAGATATGGCTCTTTCCCCGCCTGGCACATCCATATTAGCACTAACTCATTCCAGGAATGTACAGTCACTTTGTAACACACACTGAGAAGGAGGGGTCCCAGTGAAGTTTTGTGTTCCAGTTTAGTTAGCGTTTTCCTCATCTTTCAGTGCTATCGGGTGGGTCAGAAGGAGCCCTTGAGGATAGCTCAGAAGACTTGGAGTTGGAAACCTGGCCCTACCACTTTCCCCAGTCACAGCTCCCACCATGCCCTGGAGCAAATCCCTTCACACACACACACCACACACACACACACACACACACACACACACACACAGAGAGAGAGAGAGAGAGAGAGAGAGAGAGAGAGAGAGAGAGAGAGAGAGAGACCTTCCTACTTTGCTGTGTCAGCAACTTAGATAATCCACGATGAGATGCTGAGACAGAGTTTGTCCATCTTTAAAGTCCTTAAGCACACGGGGATTATTTTGATTTAGTAGTTTGAACTTAAAGAAATTTGGGGATAAGACTCTTGGGGACCAAGCCTCTGATGCTATGTAAGAAGATACAACATCTAATATTCTGATGCCCACCGCAAGTGTAGGATCTCTGCTGTGCTGGGCAGTGCTGGGCTGTGCTGGGCTGACCTGGGCTGACCTGGGCTTAAGAGGACTTGAAGGGCCTGGGGAGATGTCTTAGAGATTAAGAGCACTTGCAGAGGACCTGGGTTCTGTTGCCAGCACTCACATTATGGCTCATAACCTTCTGTAATTCCAGTTCCAAGGGATCTGATGGATGTCTTTTTCCAGCCTCTGCAGGCAGCGGGTGTACACTTAGTGCACAGATATACATGCAGGCAACACACGTGTGATCTTTTTTTAAAGAGTTCGCTGGAGGCATCCCGGCCCAGGGACCACAAAAACGGGGTGGAGTGGGGGGTTACTGCTCTCCAACCCAGAGATCCGAGATTTGCCTTCCAAACATGACCTCTGTCATCTGGTCTCTGAAAAGTTAACCAGGATCTCACTCTCCTACGCTTTCTAGTCTTGAAAGCTTCGTTGGGGTCCTCACTAGGCAAGGTGATCATCAGGACAGTTTGAGGGTATTCCAAAGAGATCCCGCCACTGCTCAGCTTGACTTTCTAGAACCTTTGAGAGAATTTTCTTAAGCCGTGGTTTATTGGGATAGAGTGAGGTAGGTGCTGCACCTCCCTGTCTGCTACGAGAAGGAAGATGCTTTTGTGAAGACTAGATTCTGCTAGAAGAGTCCCCCAGCCTTGGATGGGGGAAGGGGCGGCTCTTGTTTCTCTTACCTGGAGCCGAGCCCTCTTAGGGGTTATAGTCTTGAAATCTTAACCCCAAGTTGTAACCAAAACCCTTACTCTCTCCAAAATTCCAGGGACGCCCCCTGGCGGGACCCGGTTTGAGGCAGGAGTCAGTTACAAGACGTAGAGAGATGGGAACTGAGCGCTAAATCGTCCTTTGAAAAGAGGGGAAACAGGATGTGGCAGACAGGTTGCTCACTTGATGCAACAAGCCGACAGCTCCAGGCACACACGCTAGAGCTGGCCTCGTCATTTTACTCAGTGTCTTCTCCAAAAGAGGTGGACAGTGAGTGGGACTGGGAACATCAGCCAGCGAGCGCTGCTCTGAAGAATGTTTTAGAGGCAGCGAATGCTGCTAAGGTCCTCAGGAGGGCGCAGTTGCTTTGCCCCAGGACCTGGGCACCTTCATTTAGCTTTATGTTAGATATTATATTTCTTATTATTTGGTGCTGGGGTTGGAACTCGGGACCTTGTGCATGCCAAGAGAGTGCCTTGAACCTGAGCTACATTTCCAGCTCCTCTCAGTCAGCTTTAGGCGATTGGACCTCTTTCTTTCTGCCCTCTATCGCCTGTCAAATTTTGTTGCCTATAGTATGCTTGCATTATATCCTGTGAAGTTGCAACAGCGCGTTTCCCCTTTCCAGGGTCTTTCTCTTCTACGTCCTTTCCCTTTTCTTTCCTCGCCCCTCTTCTCCAGCTCTTGTCCCCAGGAAAATTTTCTGACGGCCAAGGTACTACAGCGGGCCGGTTTTTTTTTTTTATAATCTCCGCCTGACAGAATTCCTCTCTGCTCGCAGCCCGAGGCGATCCGCAGCACCCTCTACTGGTCACCAGCGGAATTGCGTCTCTACGGCGTCCTTCGAAAGCTCTGCTACTAACTGGATCTTGGAAAGAAAACCTGCTTAAGTTGAAAGAGACCTGTAGTGGTTAACCTGCCAGGCATTCTCTCATCTTAACTATTTATCATATTACTTACTCGTTCAATATGTCAGGATTTTCATAGATCTACTCAAAGCTACTACAATATAGTTTTATGATTGACTTAGAATTTCCAAGGCATCTACTTGAAAGGGCCCTTGTGTAAATTAGCAGCGTAGAAGCCACGGCAATATCTGAACTCCTCATCTAATTAGGCTTTAACTTGTAATTGTGTTCCAGGAATTTGCTCTTCAAGTCAGAGCGCAAGTGGACATGCATTTGGTGGTGAAGTGGTTTTTCCTTTCTGCACTCCCGAAGTCTGGAGAAATGAGAGGTGCTTGGTGGGTGTGGCCAAGTAGTAATAGAAAGGCTTCCAAAGTTCTGGGAAGTTCTTCCAAAGTTCTTCCAGACTTTCTGAAACTATCTTCATTTAAGATCCAAGACCACATGGCCAGGGGGGTGCCATTCACAGACATGTCTGAAGGCGAATCCCATGGACTAATTGATTCAGTTAAGGAAATCTCAAGGCAGTATATCATGCAGGCTGGAGCACAGTTATTACTGCTTGTGCTTAGGCAGCTAACACTGAAAAGTCAGGGCATGAAGTAACACGGAAATATCTGAAAAATAGGCAGCTGGCCTAGGAAAAGAGCACGTTTTGTGTGGACAGAGTAGAGAACATGACAGTGATGGTTAAAGAATCAGAGAAAAACCACATATTTTTACACTGGGACAGTAATAAAGCTCTTTTAGGGGGCAGACCCACCAAGTGAAGTTTCCAGGGTATAAAAATGCAAAGTCACTGGAGAAACTTTCATTTGAGAGAGAGAGAGAGAGAGAGAGAGAGAGAGAGAGAGAGAGAGAAAGAGAGAGAGGAAGAGGGAGAGGGAGAGGGAGAGGGAGAGGGAGAGGGAGAGGGAGAGGGAGAGGGAGAGGGAGAGAGAGAGAGAGAGAGAGAGAGAGAGAGAGAGAGAGAGAGAGAGAGAGAGAGAGAGAGTGAGTTCTGGGATGCCGTGCTGGAAAAGGGCTCTCCAGGGATGTTTCCCTAGTTTGAACCACATGTGAAGGCATCAAAGGACATTGCAGCCGTGATAAAAGGGGCCTGGTTACTTTCTCAAGCTGGTAACAGAACTTAACACCAACCATACAGTGTTGGTTTTGCAAGCATTATGATTACAAGGGCCCAA